AAAAGGGGTTAAATCCTGGCTCTGCCAGAAGGCCTGGGGGCCGGATGGGGGCTCGCATCTGCGGAGATGGCTGGTGGGGTGATGGGTTCTGACTCCCCCCCCCCGCATCTTGAAGGTGTTAGTGCTAAAATATACAGGGGGGGTTAGGACATTTTTAATGTATGCTTGTATTTTAATTATTTATGGATTTTAGCCACTATTGGAGAGATTGGTGTTTTTTCTCTTTTGTTATTGTGAGCCACCCAGAGTCACCCATTGGGGGAGATGGGCGGCATACAAGTTTAATAATAAATAAATAAATTATTAGGGTTTGATTTGTTCTAATGTGGTCCTATCAGATCCCGTGTTGGCTGAGTGCATTTTCGTTGTCCCTCTTGATAATGCTGCTAATTAAGTGTGCCTGTCCAACATCAGTTGGTTGCGTTTCTTGTGGGATTCTGTGCTAGTTTGGTCTGTTTTCTTTAGAATTTTCCGCTTCCTTCTTTTCCCTGCCATCCTTCTCTCTTCTCTTTCAAATTCTCTTTTCTGTCTCTTCAGGACTGGGTATCCCAAGGCTATTTCCCTGATGGGGTTTACTGCCGGAAGGCGGATAATTCCGAGGGCCAGTTCTGCAATTCCAAGCGCATTGATTTTGACCTCTACACATGATTGGAACCCACCTCCTGCCCTGCCAAGCACGAGGGACAGAGTTCAGCCCAGCGGCAGACTGAAAAAACTTGCCAGACTTTGGGGGTGGGGGCAAGGGGACGGTGTGTTGTGTGGGTGCATTTGCAGAGGGGAAGAGGGGTTTGATTCACCATTTAATTCTGAGGATGTTTTGGGTTTTGTGAAAAATAAAATAACCTTAAATTGGGTTGGTTAGTCAGCTCTCTCTATTTCCCTGCTGGCTATTCCATTCCATTGTTACCCTGTAAGTTTCATGTAGGGTAATGGTTGCCAGATACAAATAATCATGTATGCTTGTATTTGCCATTCTCTTCTGCTTCTCTGTGTTTCCAGTAGCATCTTGGGAGTGCCACACACAAACATGACAGAAGATGGGTGGGTAATGAATTTGATAGACCTGATGGCACAGGAAGTATTTGTTCATTGTTTTATCAGCATCTGGAATGTATCTGTGATGGAGAACCTCTGACCTGGGGGATCTGTCTGCAGAGTCTAGGTTTATGTGCTGTCTTTTAACACTTTCTGTCCAAGTATATTCCTCCCAGTTCCAACTCCCAG